TTTAGTCTTTCACGGGATGTGACCTTCACTGGCAGGGCGTAGATTCATTGTTCTTCCCTTGTTACTTGTGAGCTGCCACCTTGAAATACTGGAAAAAGAGGAGTTCTAGGATTTTGGCCCACCAACAGAGAAGGACCATCAACATAGTTTCACATCATGGAGTTGTGAGATTTGGAGGGCGACTTGCAGGTGGTGATGTTCCCATGTATCTGCTCCCTTTGTCCTACTAGTTAGTAGAGTTCATTGACCTGGAAGGTGCAATCGAAGGAGCCTTGGTGAATTATTGCTTTTGTTAACTAGAGAATAATTAGAATGTGGAACTTGCCACCACCAGCTGAAATGAATAGCTTAGATATGTTTCAGGAGAAACTGCTACATGAGGTGGAAGGAAATTAAGGATTTGTTAGGTTAGCTGAAGAATATCAGCTTGACCAAGTGGTCTGTTTTTGTGCTGTAAGTTGATGGAATGCTTTAGATTGCTCTTGCCTGTAGTGGAAATACTGGCTTTTCTTCAGAGCCAGATCCTGTTAGAGTTGTATTGAAGTTTGCCATGCAAGATGTTAGCCTATCAGATTCAGGTTATGCATTTCTTAAATGCCTTGTTCTTGTTCCCTATCTATTTGGTAATCTTCTAGTTTTTTTAATGCTATAGGAGAGATGTTGTTAAACTTGAAGGGGCTCAGAAAAGATTTGCAAAGTTATTGCTGGGTTTGGAGCATTTCACCTACAGAGGGAGGCTGAATAGGCTGGGGCCATATCACCTGGAACATCAGAAGCTGAGGGGTGACCTTTATAGAGGTATATAAAATCGTGAGGGGCATGGATAGGGTGAATAGCCAAGGTCTTTTCCCCAGGGTAGGGGAGTCCAAAACTAGAGGGCATAGGTTTAAGGTGAGAGGGGTAAGATTTAAAAGGGACCTAAGGGGCAACCTTTTCACCCAGAGGGCGGTGTGTGAATGGAATGGGCTGCCAGAGGAAGTGGTGGAGGTGGGTACAATTACAACATGTAAAAGACATCGAGATGAGTACATGAATAGGAAGGGTGGGCCAAATGCTGGCAAATGGGACTAGATTGTTTTAGAATATCTGGTCAACATGGACGAGTTGGACTGAATGGTCTGTTTCCATGCTGTACAACTCTATGACAATGAGTAATTTATTTTCAGTAGTACAAAGAGAAACTTCTATATGGTAAAATCTGAAAACCAAGACAAAATATCAACAGTTACAAAGGAAGATAATCTAGAAAATGGTTATATAGGCAAATAGCATTGTCAAAATAACCTGTTGTGAGGAGCTTCCTAAGCAGCACGTTGAACAGCATCTTCCCTAGACATGGGCCATTGCAAATCTGCATCTGAAAACATTTTGATTACTGTGCTAAAGACTCATCCAACTCATTAGAAGCAATCAGGCAACTGCCAGAAGTATTGGAATTGGGTTTGTGCTCATTCTAAAGGACCAATTCAGAATTCACACAGGGGGCAGTGATTTAAGGTCTACTTTGTTAATCCTTCATTCCATCATCCTTCTTTTTGTACTGATACATTATTTTCTGCTTTCCCTATTTGACTTTCTTAATGGTTTTGCACATAGATTGCAAAGATGTTGTGCAGCCTTAAAAGCACAGATGTGAGCAGACATAAGTAAAACTGATCCTAACAGAAAATTGGTTTACAGATTAAGTTGCCTGCATTCGTGTTTTCATTATTGGTTGACTTTAGCATGATTGTTTTAACTCATGCAATTCATTGGCATATGCAGGAGGATGGAGAGACAATCTCTGTATTCCTTTTGTCCATGTGAATCATATATTATAAAGCAATATTGCAAACTGAATTGTGGTTAAAATTCGCATTACCGGTTCTATGATAGTCAAAACTTTGATGCTTTGTTAAATCTCATATTTGTTGCAAAATGTACTTTGAAATTACGATATTTGAGGCCAACCTTTGTATGAAATTGTACTTGCATTCATGCTGAGACACACCAGCTGTTTCTTGTCATCAATGTAACACTTGGTAAGCAATACATTTCTCTTTCTCTGGCTTTAATTACAAAGGATTTTAAACTTACTGATCCATTAGTTTAGTTATTAAAGATTTAGTGAGAGAAAATAATAAAATGAGGAAGAGGATCCAAGTTAAACCTGAGACAGTACTAGTAACAACCTTGTGGGTTGTATATTATTTTCAGTTCCACGCTGAAGAACGTTGTTTAGAATTAATTGAGGTCACAACATTAAAATTGCCAGAAGGGTAAAGTCTAACATTCAAAATGATGCAAATTTTAGACCAAAGCACTCTGAAATCCTTTATCTATGGTTGAAATGATGCTGTGGAATTTTTCAAAGATCAGTTAAATTGAGTATTTTTAAGAAGATTTCTTTCAGTTTTTTAAAAAAATGATTTGATGATGAAGTAATTTGATGTTAAACTGATCATTGGTTTATAAAAGGCTTAGAGCAGAATAAGTAGTGATGAGGCAGTTTGAACAAAAGCTCATTTACTCTTGGGTTTTGGTTGATTCACTTGAATTATCAGATAATTGCAGTAGTGTTTCAAAACAATCAAAATGAAATAGCAACTAAATCATTAAGAGATAGTAGGAACTGCCGATGCTGGAGAATCTGAGATAACAAGGGGTCAAGCTGAAGAAGGGCCCAGACCCGAAACATCAGCTTTCCTGCTCCTCTGATGCTGCTTGGCCTGCTGTGTTCATCCAGCTCTACACCTTGTTAACTAAATCATTAAGTTTTGCCAATGTCTTTTTCTCAGTCTTGTCTCCATCAGTTCCTGTGAAAGAGAAAGGTAGCTTTAATGTTTCAAAGATTGATCACTTGGCAATTCTAAAGAAGGATCCTTGCCAGCTGTGATCTAGTTGAAGAATTTATATTTTAGTGAAAGCTTTTAAAAGTGAAGGAAGATCAGGAAAGACAGAGGTCAAGGATATTATTGCAGAATTCCAGGCAATAGTGACTGAGCAGGCCAATGTTGTATTGAAGTGACAGTAAGTGTTCTGCCACTCTACACCAGATCTTGGCCTAAATATCGCCAAATGAGCTGAATTCCAGAGGGCAAGTAAAAATGATGACCTTTGACATCAAGACAATATTTGACTGATAGTTGCATCAAGGCATCTTAACAAAATTAGAGTTGATGGAATCAGGGAAAATGCTCCACTGGTTTGGATAATGGTTGTTGCTGAGGAAGATGACTGTGGTTATTGAGGGCCAATCGTTTTCCCCCTAGGACATTGCTGCAGAATACTCAGCAAAGACCATTGCTCCATCATTCTCAGCTGCTGCATCCAAGACCTTCAATCTAACATAAGTTTGTAAGTGGATAGGGTCTCTGATGATTGAAATATTCTCGGATCCTTTCACCCACCTCTAATATCCCCTCCACTTGGACCCACTCTCCGATCTCTTAGCCACAATTGTTCACTTCATTGGGAATTGAGTTCCGAAGAAGAGTCATTGGATTTAAGTGTTAACACTGTTTCTCTCTCCACAGATGCTGTGAGACCTGCTGAGTTTCTACAGCATGTTTTGTTTTTATTTAATTAATGGCTTACTCAGACACTAGTAATTGTGACATTTGTAAGATTGGGGCTCATTTGAAGAGATAAAATTGTGTGTTACTATATGTGTAGAAACTGACTGCTTGCTCATACCTTACATTTTTGCTGTACATGAGACTTTAAACACAAATAGAATTCTGTGCACCTGCAAAGGCCCACGCATATTTGAATCTAAAGGTGCATATATTATGCTCCTTAATATGCTTGAAATAATATGTGAAAAATGTCACTTCACATATTACATAGAAATAGCAAGAGAAAAATGAGACTTTTTTCCAACCATTACTAATCATGGATGTGAACAGAAGCAGTCCCAGAACAGAGCCCTGTGGGATAGAACTACCCATTAGCAATCACTGAGCAATTGCTCTTAACACATGTACTCTGTTTCTTTTCTTCTAATTAGTTTTAACCAAACTTAGCTCCCTTTCATGTATTACCATGCTTATTAGTTTTTTTCTTTCCCAGTGGTCTCCTGTGTGTTAGACTGATGAAGGCTTTCTGGAAGTTCATGCACTCCACACCATCTTTGTTTCCTGAGTTTTCTATATCTTGTATCCTCAAAGTATTCACTAGTTTGTTAGGACTATCATCCCTGAGATCTGTCATGGCTGCTTCTACTAAATTTCTGTTTTTTTAAGATGCTGTACTGGCTCAAAAATGGAGAGTGGTGCATTGAATATGGATTTTTTTTAATATGCTAGCTCTTTCAATGAGTTATGCACTTATCATAGATAAACTTCAAAATCTGTTCAAGATGCTGAATTACATGTATTGTAGTTGTAGTGATAATTACTATATCAAACTTGCAGATTTATTTTCTTTATGTAATATGACTATTTTATCAGAGATAACTAATGGTTTTAATTTCCTCAATTAGAGTATAAATTTTTTGAAATGTAACCATAAGTACGATTTAAGATGTCCTTCAGAGTTAGATGCCTGGGCAAGCATGCAAGTCTAATGCTGCAGTAGAGTCTAGCAGAAAATTACAAAATAATTGTTGAAGTTGGTCAAGGCTTGTTCATTTTTTGATGTAATTTTTTTGAGATTAGCATGCTTGCTGCAGCAAAAGCAAAATATTGCTGATGCTAGAAATCTGCAATAAAAACAAAAAAAAATTCACCAGTACTTAAAAAGAAAATGAAATGTTATCTATCTGAAAAGTAAATCCTGTTTTCATCAGAAACACTGCAGAAGATTTACAGTACTTCTTTTAAACTACTTTGCTTAACATATGTGTCAGTTTTAGATCACAATCATTAGTGCTAATTGAATAAAAGAACTTCAGTTATAGTTGCTGCATCAGTGAAAACAAAAGTGCTAATCTGTGCTATTGAAAAGTTATGATATTGTGAGTCATATATGTACCATGTTTAAGTATCAACATAGCGTTTCCTTAATTAAAGCTTTGACACAGTTTTGTACAGGTTGCAAGGGAGCAGTTTGAAAAACTATCAGAAATGCATAAAACCATGGAGGAGGATTTTGCAGACCTTGGACAATACTTTGTCTTTGACACCAAAAAAACATCTGTTGAGGAGATTTTTGGTGATCTTAGTAACTTCAAGACTATGTTTTTGGTAAGTGCTTAATTAATTATATATGAAGCAATGTAATAGTGATGTGGGCACTTATGAGATTTGGTGTCATTTTTACAATCTGCTCCCTAGCTGCTGATTGTCATCTTTAACCTGGGCACTTTCCATCAGGAGAGTTCTGCATAGAGGCAACAGACACTTCATCTTACCCATCTTAGCACCAAATAACCAATTTAAGTTAACATTAAATGATCTGAACTCACATGTAGACTTGACCAGGGAATGATAGCAAATTCCCTTCCCTATTTTTGAACCACATGGGTCTCTGATGGTTTTGTGGTCACCATTACTAATCATCTTCAACTTAATTAAATTCCAGAATAGTTAATTGAATTAGAATTCTGTCTCCTGCCTTGGTAGGATTTGAAATTGTCTCCCCCAAGCATTAGCTTGGACTTTCATTTTACTCATTCACCTTCTTCCCCTTTCTTGGTGCAGTGTTATACGTGATAGACTAGATAGTCCCTTGCCTAGTTAGTTTTTTCTTATCATTAGGTCTATTGAAATGCAGAGATCTTTCAGGGTGGTGCTTCAGATACTCTTTCAGTACTACGTAGTACTGGATCGTGATGTGGAATGGGACCTCTAATTTCCTCAGAAGGACTGAAACATGCCAGCTGTCACCTGGCTGAGATCAGCTAATTTACTACAAACGAAGAATAAAACTGAGGATCCTCTGCTGCGTGGCATGCAATATGTTTGTGCACTTATTCATTCAGGGGTGCACTTAAGATTTTAAATCTATAAAATATAAAGTGCAGTAAACCCTGAAGCTGTAATACACTATTGAGTCCTTGACCTCTCAAAAGTTTTAATAATAATAATCTTATATTTACTGAAATTTCAACATAGTTTATGAGCTCCATTTGACGTGGTCACAGTGTTAGCTCTGCTGTCTTTGAATTAGGATGTTGTAAGTTCAAGTACCACTCAGATTTGAGCACATCTAGCTGTCACTAAAGCGCCATACTGAAGGTGTGCTGTACTGCCGGAGGTGCAGTCTTTCAATCATCTCAGGCTATATCTACCTTCTTGGGTGGATGCAACAGATTTTGTGGCCCTATACAATATTTTTCCACCTGACTTATATTACTAAAACTGTTTATCTGGTCATTCATATTACTATTTACAAGACCTTGCTTTATACAAGGTGTCTGCAGCACTTCCTATATTACAATGCTGAAGTGAAGTGATTTGAAGGTTGCCATAGTCCCAGCAGACCATAGGTTGTTCTGTCATTAGAGAGCGATGACTGGCAATAAGTTTAACCTTCACGCCTCATATGCAGGACAGGGCCTTCATGGGGACCTCAGCCATTACAGGAATTAAACCATGCGTTTGGTATCCTTCTGCATTGCAAACAAGCCATCCAGCCAACTGTGCTGATCCCCATTACAATGTGACTGCATCTTGAAAGTATTTAATTTGTTATAAAGCGTTGTGAAATGCCCTGAGACCGAGAAAGGTATGATAAGATGCAATTCCTTCTTTCCTTAAGTAATCTTTTATCTCCCTCAGCAATCGGTAATGGAGAACAAGAAACGGAAAGAAGCTGAAGAGAAAATCAAAAGAGCCAAACTAGCCAAAGAGAAGGCAGAAAAGGAGCGACTAGAAAAACAAAAGAAGAATGCAGCATTTGACATGAATGCGGGTAAGAAATTTTGCATGTTTTTCCTTCCTTCTAGATTTTTGTTACAATCAAATTTTACTTCTATACAGTTTGTTGCCATGAAATTGACGTTACAAAGGCTTCCACTTGTATAGCACTTTTTAATGTGTAAAATGTTCAGGGTATTATCAAACAGCATGTCACATGAGATATTAGAGAGAATTGTTAAGCAGCATCGTAAAGAAGAGAAAGAAACGGAAAGATTTATGGAAAGACTTCCAGTGCTAAGGCCCGGGCAAGTGAAGGTATCATCAATGGTAGAGCAATTAAAACTAGGGATTCATGACACCAGAATTGGAGCAACATGGTGATCTGAAGGGTGTAGGACTGAAGGAAATTGGAGATGGGAAAAATTAGACCACAGAGAGATTTGAAGAAAGAGTGTGAGAATATTAAAATATAAGGATTTTCAGATTCAACAGTATATGGGTCAGTGAGCAAGTATAATTGGTGTATGGGATTTCTTACACATTAGACAAAGGCAGCAAAATTTTGGATCAGTTGAAGTTTATAGAATATAGAATGAGGAGGGCTGTTAAGAGCGTGTGCAACTAGCCCAGCCTATTATTATCAAGTAGAGTCTGGTAGGGATGCCTGAGGCCAAATGGAACAAGGGAACAGCTGAAGGTTATATGTTAGTTGAGCATAATTGGATGAGAAATTGACTGGGGAACAACATGTGACACATCTGTGGAGCAGGTGGGACTTGAACCTAGGTCATCTACCTGAAGTAAGAACACTACCAATGTACCACACGAGCTCTAACTGGGGTTTTGTTCTCTATATACCCAGTAAAATTCTTACTCAATTATTTCATATATTCAAATTTGACTGGGTATATGGACGGCAAGGCCACATTTAAGGCTCTTGTGGCACAAAGGTAGTGTCCCTACCTCAGGTCCGAAGACCTAGATAGCATGTACTCCAAAGATGTGTCATACCATTTCTGGACATGTTAATTAATTAAAAACATGGAGAATAAGTCATCAGAATTGGAGTTTTGGGATATGCAAATAAAACCGATGAGAAAAGTATATATGGATTATATCTAACCAACATTTACTTCCTAGTTTTTGACAAAATCTAGAAGCAGCACAGGTATGAGTGAGTGTTTTAGCAATTGAGCTGAGGCAGAGGTGGATAATTAATGTGACACTGATGGAAGTAGGGTGGCTTGTGTTTGGCAGGTTACTCATACCAGCATTTTATTTCAACAATTTGTTTTGGCTGAATTCAAGTTCTTAAATTATCTTTGTTGAAATTAAACAAATTCAATAGCTTATTAGGTCAGTAATGTGATCACTGCATTTCTGTTCCCATCCCTCCACAGTGCCTGTCCAGACCTTCCTCCTTAGGTATCTTGTAGACTAAGGGCTATTCAGAAATGTGAAATCTACTTAACTGTAGGGTTAGATTTGGAAAACCAGTAATGTACTTTCAACTTTTATTGCAAATCTTTATGCACAAGGTATTGTTTTCTTCATTCTATTATTTGACAGTTATTAAGGATTACACACCAGTGAGGAAAGTAATGAAAGGAGGTGTGAAGAGAAGATTGAGGTCTGAGAAGGGAAAAAAAATGAGAAGTGGGTAATAGAAATGACAGATTTGGGTCCAAAAATGAAAACCAAACGCAGGTGTGCAAATGAACATGGAAACTCAAGTAACATGGACTTGTGTGGTCTTGATGTCAGTACCTAGAGGAATAAGGCTGTAATGCTATTGAAAGTCGTTATCATAGATGTTGTTTCAGTATCAATAAACAGGTGTGTTTAGAAAGAAATTATTTTGGATCAATTTGCTACTTGAATTAATAAAGATTGTTGTCTGTAGGAAATGGAAGTGATGATTTGTAACACCAGGTGGCGCTGTGTTTACAGTGTGTTTTTAAAAAAGGAGGGCTGCTGTACAATACTGATTAACATCCTCCTTGAGCTGGGAGTGTTCATTGGTACCAGCTGCAGATCAAAGCAGAAATAAAATTCTCATTCCCCCTGCCCTTCCCCAGCTCGACAGAACAAATTCCTTAATCTGCATGTGTGGAGAACCAATGCAAGAGGCATCCTAACAAAAATTATCCTGTCAAGGACATTGCCTTTAGCCGTATTCCTTTGTCCATTTGCTGCATTTAGCACGTTCTGTTTGGGATGCAGATTTAAAGCAGAGGGAGGATGGGTGCACTTGGTGTCTCACACTGTGTTTAATTTGGCAGTTTCTTTTTCATTCGACTGTGAAGCTGACACAGGAAAGCAGTGAGATTAAGCATGCTGTGATTATCACCATTGCACAGATTGTGCTGCTGAGTGCTAAATATCTGACGCAGGTTGCAGTTAAAGCTGTCGAGGAAGTGTAAATCCAGCCCATGTCAGCAAAAAAAAAGCCTCGGCAGAGAGGGTGGAGTAAGAGCTGAGGTCAGGGAAAGACAAAGAGACTGCGGCAGTTTCTTATTGCTGACAAGGCTGCACAGATCATTCCTCCAAAATTAAATAAATAGGTGCAGTGAAAAACCTTTTTCTCTCAAAAAAAGATGTTTTGCTTCTGAAAAAAAAAGCTACATTCCCAAAACAGTTACTTAGAAATAAAGAATATCGTGTTTGCTAGATTTTTGATTATCTGGACTGATGTAAAACCACAACCTTTTTTAAATAATTTTATAAAGCTGGGCTCTAAAGGCGCAAAACAGCGAATCCAGCAATTTTCTAAAATCATCTTTAGCTTTATTTTGGGAATATAATTTAGCAATCCAAAGTAATGCTTCTTATACTTGTCAAATAAATACTTTGTAGTTTATCAGTTTGTTCCTCAGGGTGGCAGCACCAGTGTGTACAATTGAACCCTGGTAATGCTGAGGGAGATTTTCTTTAACTCAATGCAGCAGCGGGAGAGGTGATCCTCGGAGTAAGATAATAGCAAACAAATTCTCTGCGGAACATGGTTTAGATTTGTAGATCAACAGATTTATCTTTTTGGCTCCCGGTCTGCGAAATGTGTGGTTATCTGTCCTTTTCTTAATTCTGTTGTTTCCTATCACACACCGTAAGCTTTTCATAGATGAAGTAGGTGTTCCTTGGTCTTCAATATTTCCTACGCCAGTTTTTTTTCACCAGAAGATGGCCTGCTTCTATTAACAAACTTCTCTTCCCACCCTTAATACTCCCTCCGACCCCTGCAAACATGGCTTTTAATCCATCCTCCTGCCACTCCCGTCTAAGATATTTCATTGTGTTATAACATGCTGTTGCATTATGTTATTCAGATGTGATTTTTGTTAAACTGCACACGACACAACAAGTTTTAACATTGCAGATGCGGGTTTGGTGCATTACGCCCAACCCTAGTAAGTCGTACATATTGACAATTGAAATAGATTTTTAACATGCAGTACTGCCACTCAGTAATGATGAACCTGGAGAAAACCGTTTTCTCACTGAAATGATTTCATGCAGGTAAAACAGTATAAGTCAGGAATATTTAAAACGGAATCTAATGCAGGGTTTGAAATGCATCCTGGACGTGCAACTGTGTAAGAATATTGAGGTTAGCATTTTACAAAGGTGCAAAAAATGTCCCCCAGCCCCCATCTCCCTTCCCAAGCGGCTCCATGGACTCTGCCATGGTTTTCAGAGGGATACAACAGTGAAAAGATAATGGGAGGAGGGAGGAGAGGAGTGGTTTATATGTTACTGAATAGCTGTTGCAAGTAAAATAGGAGCAAATTGTTTTTTTTTAATCATTACTTCTGAATAACAGAATTAATGCTTAGATTTTTTTGAAATTCCTGTGCAGTTTAAAATGTCCCTATACTATTCATTTTGGAATATTCTGCGAGGCTTGTATTTGACTCCTTAAGGACAATATTCCAATTACAGTTCACTCAGTGAGAACAGCCACATCCTTTGTTTTCTTTTTGTCCATTACTTTTAAATTTGAATGAGCTGAGGATTTTTAATAAATGTATAACAGAAACAGCCTTTCTCATGTTGACTGATCTACCTGGTCCATGGGATGTTTTATCTCATAATTCATATAAATTGTTCCATGAGATGTAATGTAAATGTACAGACAGTTTCAGCTGTGAAATTGTTTCACAGCTCAGGATTTTAGTCAATAAATGGACAGCTTGTTGCTGCTCAAAAAACTTAAACTCTATCGCAGGTAACATCAGCAAGAAATTTAACTTTTCACCTCCCAAATACTGTTTCCCAGTTTTTAAGAAATTAAATGGTTTTTTTTTACTGCACAGACACAGGCGATTCAGTCCATAAGGTCCATTCTAGGGGTAGTGCCCCATGCACTCCCCTTTGTAGCTCTATCAAGATATCCTTCAAATCCTTTTCTGTGTGTTTTATCCTACTCCTTCATTGGATGAGAGTGTCTTTGGCAATGTCAGTACTTGTTGCCTTACCCATTACACTACCCCATTTCCCCACTGTCATTGCAAATAATTGACAATAGGTTCAAACTCCAACTATATCTATGATCCCATCTCCTTAACGTAGTAAAATGTTTCTGTTCATCTGTTCATACCAGAACCAATTGTTCCCTTGGTTGCAATCAATTGACCAAAAATGAGCTCAAACTAGTTCTACTTCAAAGCTAACAGGAACTTATTACTCATTCATTGGTGCTCTGAGAAGGTGGTAGTGGTCCTTTGCCTTGAGCCATTTGATAATTGGATATTGCCATGATCTGACAAGTATTTCCTGAAACATAGCAGTTACAAACTTAGCAATGAATAGTATACCTACGGCATCTGACCAGTTTCACTTCACAGATTTCCTCTGGCTGGAACCATTTAAAAAAGACCCCGTGGGACAGCAGTCACATACATTCCAAATCCAGTACCATCCTCCTCTGTGTGATTCAGTGTTGAAAAGCAATGCAAAATTTACTTGAAAGCAGAATACAACTTTTCAAACTTTCAATATATGCAATGTAATTCAAGAATTCTCAAAATTAACATGTTCTAACTAATAAAAGAT